AAACTGCGCCCCCTCCCTCGATCAAGAAGCCCTGACCGCTTAATTTATTAACGGAACCCACTGACGTGGTCTGAGGGGGTGGCTATGTCACCCATGGGAACAATCCCAATATTACGATCGTGACTGAGTTACTGTCTGGCCAACCGATGGATCGGAGTTCGATTCCAGGGCAGAGACATGACATTCTCTTCTCCACGGCGTCAATACCATGTCTGGGGCGCACCCGGTCTCTTATTAAATTTGGGGGTACAGCGGCTGGGGTGTGAATCCGCACTTCCAAGTAGTGCAGAAGTTAAGAACGCATGGAGCTATACCTCCACTTCAACATACATCTTCGTGGCGTGGTGCTTAATCAAATGCAGAGACAATTTATTGTACCGCTAAAGAGTAAACACATTCACAGCTGCAGTAAGAGCTGTTTCTAAACGAGATATCACGTTTTCAGCATCTAACGTGTTACAAAGCTCCATGCCTATAATCAGACACAATTTTCTTGTCCGGCCTAGTGGTCAGAGTTCCTGGCTACAGATCCAGAGGTCCGGGTTCGATTCCCGGCGCTACAAGATTTTCTGAGAAGTAGGGGGTCTGGAACGGGATCCACTCAGCCTCATGAGGATAATTACAGGAGCTATTTCAAGGGAATAGCGGCTCCGGTCTAGAAAACCGAGATTAACGGCCGTGGGGATCCGTTGTCCTGACCACGTGACACCCTCTATCCGCTAAAGTTGGCACTAACTTTGCCGACAATCGATCGGTCGGTATAGTTCGCTTGCGGACTGAAACCAACGAGTTTGGTTTATTTTGTTTGTTGAAGATAATTCCATCGCTTCTCGCTACCCATCTGTACGGGCATCTGACCAGCCACATTACGTGCTTGCTTACAGAGAGTGCCAGGGATAACAAGAAAGTGGAGAAGTGGCTCTTACCGGCCAAGAGAAATACCTCAATTCTCTCGCGTTACAAGCAGAATATCAGAGAGATGCTAAACCAAGGCAGAGCAACAGTGTACCGAACCAGACTAAACACGGACACTTTACGGGGAAACAAGGGTAACGCCACCTCTGCATGCGGCATGTGGGGAGAGAGGAAAGGGTAGAACGTGAAACGAAATCTTTACAGAAACGGGAACTCAGAATTCGCTAAGAGAGTCAAAAGAGACATATCGAAGCAGAAGGAAGAAGGGAGCGTGCGCTACAAGCCGGAAGGTCGCGTTTTCGATTCCCGATCAGGTCATTTGATTTTCTAATTAACCAAATCCTTCGAGCCGCACTATGGCCCTGAGGTCGACTCAGCCTCTAACAGGAATGAGTACCGGGAATTTCCCTGGGGCGTAAAGAACGGCCGGAGCATAAGGCTGACAACCTCACCACCATCTATGAGCAGATTGTCTAGAAAATGTGGGAGCCTCGACGTCTCACAACCGTATGGGCCTCCATGGTTTGTTACAGGGATGGCTTTACCTTTACCTCGGAAGGCATAGGGTAATGAGGCAAATGCTGGCAGGAAATCGAAAGGGGAAGGAAGGACAGAAATGAGATGAAGCTCCATGTGTTAATGCACCCCAAGCGACGAGTTTCTGACAGACAAACACGTCATTGCTGATGGCGCCGCCAGTTGCTGTAAAGCCTTGTGATCTCGGAAGGCCCGCAGCCCCGCGGCCGGCGAACACATGGCAGCAGATAAACACGGCCTCTGTCACTCTCTACAAATAACATCTCTTCCTGGCTTTAAAATCAAGCCCGAAAACGTTTCCGCTTTATTTTTTTTAAATTAATTCCAGTTTTCTTTCTGACTCTCTTGGGCTACAAACATTTTACAGATATGAAACTAAGTGTTATATTTTCTTGCCAACTTTAGCGGATAGAGGGTGTCACGTGGTCAGCGCAACGGATCCCCACAGCCGTTAAATTGGGTTTTCTAGACCGGAGCCGCTATTTCCATTCAAGTAGCTCCTCAATTATCCTCACGAGGCTGAATGGACTTCTTTGCAGACCCACTACTTCTCAGAAAACCTGGTAGCGCAGAGATTCGAACCTGGACCTCTGGACCTGTAGGCAGGAACTCTGACCACTAGACCACAGAGGCGTTTGGCACTTACTTCACCGACAAGCGGCGATTACTCGGTCGGTATAATTAGCTTGCGGACTCAAGCCACGGAGTTTGTTTCTTGTTTGTTATATATATTCGTTATATATTCGAAGGACACGTCAAGCAAGCTCTGCTTTATTTATTCTTCGACACTGAAGATCGAAGCTACATGTTGCCCCGAACTTCAGCTGAAGTTCAACCAAATACAATGCCCTGTATCCCAGAAGACAGAACTCTTCATAACCTCAAATCCTACAAACTGAGGTTTAATCACATCTGCGCTCCACGGTGTAGGTGTACATGACGGCCAGTTCCTGAGAAATTTTCTAACATTCGATCCGAAAGCCCTCTCTAGGACCAAGCTGTGTTTGCACTTGGACAGGGACTGGAACGTAAGGGACGAGGATTTGGACCAGACGCTTTGATGGAGAACAATACAGCTTCTCATTTCATCTACAACCCCCCCCCCCTCGGAGGCAATTAAATTAGGGGTGTGACGTCAGTCGCCCTCCCCACACCACTCTCATAACACCCCACTGCAGCAGCTGCTTCAGGAAGTCGGTGTGAACTTGCCCTACAATTTCACTTGTTGAATGCATATCCGAGCGACAAGCATCTGGAGTTCTAGCGCGACATCCACGGTCAGCTTCACGCTCTGGCCGCTGTACACCCAGGGAAGCACTGCTCCATGTCCCTTTGGCTGTTACATGAACTGGGTAGGTTATGGAAACGTATTAGATTGGCACATGAGGATGTGAAGATACTGTGACGCCTTGTAGTCTGATAGAAATTTACTGACTTCTGAAGAAGTGCACTAGTTCCATATTCAGGATCGGAATATAACCCAAGCAACCGGTAAAGCATTGCTTGTTTCTTGCTATTTGCTTTCATGGTTTAATATTCGATCTTCAAAATGGAGGTCAGTATGTTCCTCCGAAACGTCTACAATCTTCGTTCTTTACGCTGTTCTTCTTAGTTGTACCGATTAGCTCTGGCTCCCTTACCGATCCTCTCTCCTGGCATCCAGCACGTTCTTCTATCCTGAAGATGGAACAGGCCGTGAAGGCCAATAGGGCTGTGAGACGTTGAGGCTCCCACATTTCCTCTAGACAATCTGTTCACAGATGGCGGTAAATTTGTCGGCCTTACACCACGCCAACCGCCCTTTACCCCCGAGGAAGATTCCTGGTACTTATTTCTGTTAGAGGCCGAGTCGACCCCAGGGCCATAGTGTGGCTGGAAGAATTAGGTCAACTGAAAAATCCAATTATTTCCATAAACAGCATTAACCTGCTGTTCTTTATCACGTAGGCGCATTGCTTTTCCTGTGAGGTACGAATCGAGTGTAGAAGAGGAAGCTGAGTCGACCCCAGGGCCATAACGAGGCTGGAAGAATCAGGTAAATTGAAAAAATCCACTTCATCAGCGTTAGATCCCACGACCTTATGGCTTCTAACATAGTGCCTCAAACAACTACGCTACCGCGTGGTCTTTCCTGAAGATAGAAGCAATAAGTTCACCCGAAACTCTGATAAATATCCATCAGAACACGCGACTTAACAACACACAACAAGTACTTAGGCACCTCTTCTCCATCTTCGTTGTAGTCAGATACATAGTGACCTCTGTCGTTTCCAAGTAACTGCTTCTAAAGTACACAACGACAGGCTTCATAGTGTATAGCCATGCCCTCTTCACTTCGTTTCGTTAACAGTGAATGCAAAGTTGCCCTGTGCTTACTTATTCACCACACCGTACGGCACTCAGGGAGGAAAGCAGTACAACTCCACACAAATTTGACCTGGGAACTGGAGTGACCAGGTTCGCGCCCAGGGAGCGAGTCGCTAGTGACACTGGACAGGCCCCGGAATCTGTTCGGACACTGCTCTTGGCCCTGCTCGTCCTTACCCTGAGTTACCAAAGGTGAGCTTGGAAGAAACCAGAACTGCATACAAAACATGGAGGGAATATCTCACGGGAAGGGAATGTTTAGCAGACCATGGCAAGATAAAATTCAGGAAGATCTTACAAAAATATGAACTGAAGGTGTAGTGGTTCAGGGCTGTCTCCCTTGAGCACTGCAGCGAACTTCTTGTGCTCAAGCGAAACAGACCATCAGAACTTCTGCGTGAAGTTGGTAGGCTTGGTCGTTAGTTATGGATTCCCACTACCAGAAACTTTCTGATATGACCGCAAAGTTTTGCACAGGCACCATGTTTTGAGGAGTCTGGATAGCTCAGTCGATGTAGTGATGGGTTACAGGTGGCAGGGCCGGGGTTCGGTTTTTGGCAGGGGAAAGAGGGTTCTCTCCTCCATAGCGTCCAAAACCCACGCTGGGGCCCACTCAGCCTCCTGTCCAGTGGGTAACGGGGCTCTATCTCTATTAGTAAAATGGCGGGGACATGAAGCTAATATCTTACATCCATCGAGTGCCGAGGTCCAGAATGGTGGAGCTATAACTCCACTCCCCTCTTATATTTATGGCATAGTGCTTAATTAATTAAGTGTAGGGATAAATTTCCGTTTTGAAAATTTTAATATACAAACAAAAAAAGACAGAATTAAATGTATCCCTATGCTTAATTAAGCATAACGCTATGAAGACGTGTGGTGAAGTGGAGGTATTGATCCACACAGTCTTAGCCTTGGCACTAGATGTGGGCGAGTGGTTAGCTTCACGCACCAGCCCCTTTACTTCCGGGGAATGAACCTCGGTACCCACTGGATAGGAGGCTGGTTGGGCCCCATAAGTGGTCTCTGCTCTGTGGAGAATAAAGAATCTGCTGTTTCTTGCCGGGAATATAAACTTATCGTGCCAGTAGCCTAGTCACTATTCTGACTGAGCTATCTCTGCTCAACGTACAAGTGCCTAGTTTCAGTAGTACATTTGTTAAGTGGCAGTGACTACTTACGGAGAGAAACAGTAGAGGCCCTGACACACGTGCAAGGGCACGAAGTACCCCACCTGGGGCCACACCTGGGCGTTGATATTGGAGTTACTGCCACTCAAACTGTTGCAATCCATTCTCACGTCACAACACTGGCCTGTTATTCGCTGACACTGTAGTATCTCTACTCTCGTTTCATCAAGGAATGAAAACACAGCGGAGACAAAATGTAGGAAGCCTTCAGCGTTCCTTCACGTGCTTACATTCAAATCCGGGAGCCTAGAAATCGTTTGAAGAGCAGGTTGGTTCTTTGAAAAAATTGTCACACGAGAAGGGAGAATTTTTTATTTGTTTATGGTTTATTTCAAGGCGCCGACAGTAGTTTAGATTATATCGCAAGGAATGGTGCAGTGTTTAGTGGATAATGAATTGGAAAGGACGTGCAAGGAATCGGTACTGGCCTCTGCAGTCTGCCCACAGAGTGTATCTGTGTGTTCCGTACGGTTCTCACAGCGACTGTTTCCCTAAACAGCATTAACCGGTTGTATCTGTGTGTTCCGTATGGCTCTCACAATAAACAGCGGCTGTTTCCCTAAACAGAATTAACCGGTTGTATTTGTGTGTTCCGTATGGTTCTCACAATATACAGCGGCTGTTTCCCTAAACAGCATTAACCAGTTGTATCTGTGTATTCCGTATGGTTCTCACAATCAGCAGCGACTGTTTTCCTAAACAACATTAACCGGTTTTGCTTTGTAGCGGAGACGTAATGTGTTTCCTGTGAGGTAGGGACTGAATTCTTATATATACTGCATTCTGCCCACAGAGAGTATCTGTGTGTTCCGTATGATTCTCACAATAAACAGCGACTGTTTCCCTAAACAGCATTAACCGGTTGTATCTGTGTGTTCCGTATGGCTCTCACAATAAACAGCGGCTGTTTCCCTAAACAGAATTAACCGGTTGTATTTGTGTGTTCCGTATGGTTCTCACAATATACAGCGGCTGTTTCCCTAAACAGCATTAACCAGTTGTATCTGTGTATTCCGTATGGTTCTCACAATCAGCAGCGACTGTTTTCCTAAACAACATTAACCGGTTTTGCTTTGTAGCGGAGACGTAATGTGTTTCCTGTGAGGTAGGGACTGAATTCTTATATATACTGCATTCTGCCCACAGAGAGTATCTGTGTGTTCCGTATGGTTCTCACAATAAACAGCGACTGTTTCCCTAAACAGCATTAACCGGTTGTATCTGTGTGTTCCGTATGGCTCTCACAATAAACAGCGGCTGTTTCCCTAAACAGAATTAACCGGTTGTATTTGTGTGTTCCGTATGGTTCTCACAATATACAGCGGCTGTTTCCCTAAACAGCATTAACCAGTTGTATCTGTGTATTCCGTATGGTTCTCACAATCAGCAGCGACTGTTTTCCTAAACAACATTAACCGGTTTTGCTTTGTAGCGGAGACGTAATGTGTTTCCTGTGAGGTAGGGACTGAATTCTTATATATACTGCATTCTGCCCACAGAGAGTATCTGTGTGTTCCGTATGGTTCTCACAATAAACAGCGACTGTTTCCCTAAACAGCATTAACCGGTTGTATCTGTGTGTTCCGTATGGCTCCTAAAATAAACAGCGGCTGTTTCCCTAAACAGCATTAACCCGTTGTATCTGTGTGTTCCGTATGGTTCTCACAATAGACAGCGGCTGTTTCCCTAAACAGCAGTAATTAGTTGTATCTGTGTATAGCGTATGGTTCTCACAATAAACAGCGACTGTTTTCCTAAACAGCATTAAAAGGTTGGGCTTTGTAGCGGAGACGTAATGTGTTTCCTGTGAGGTACGGGCTGAATTCTTATATATACTGCATTCTGCCCACAGAGTGTATCTGTGTGTCGTGTATGGTTCTCACAATAAACAGCGACTGTTTCTCTAAACAGCATTAAGCGGTTAGGCTTTGTAATAGACGCGACGTGTTTCCTGTGAGGTACGAACGGAATCCTTATATATTATGTCGATGAATGTTAAATATTCTAGCAACTGTAACTTCTCCACTTTCACATTAACCGTTTCTAAAGAAGCGGGCGAAGCCTGGGAACCTTCCAACATAACGATGCTCTCTCTCTTTTCCCCCCTTCCCACGGAAATGAAGTGCCTCTAATTTGTCCCACGACTTTTCCTCTCATGTATTCTTCTACTGCACTTCCGTACCTCCCTCTCTCGCTTAGGTTTCCAAGATCAACCATTGCACGGTTTCAAACTGACCCTTCGTAGTAAGCAAGGAACCAGACGTAGTGTCTCTATACTTAGTAAACACTGCTCCAGAAATACGGCTTCTGACCCTGGGAGCTGTATAGTACAACTGTACCAAACTGAACGCGGGCCGGGGCGATTAGAAATTGCCATTCTCACAGTTGGCAGCCCCCTCTCACCTCTGTGCCAGCAAACTGCAAGAAGCAGAAGCCCAAAGGTTCACTACCGCGTTCTCAAGAGACCGTCAGTAGCCTCTGTCACAAGCCATGTGAATCTAGCCCCACATCCTTCAATCCTACTATTTCGAGATCCATTTTAATATTATCCTTCCACTTTCGTCTACGTATTATTTGTGGCCTTTCTCCTTCACGTTGTCCTTCCAAAATTGTGTACGTATCTCTCTTCTCTCTCATTAGAGCTACTTGCCCAGCCCATCATCCTAACGATATTTGGCAAGATTATGAAGCTCTTTGTTATGTACAGCCTATAACGTACTCCTTACGTGCCCCCCGGCCGTATAATTTATGTACTACAGACTGCATTAACTCGTTGGAGTAGAGCTCCTCTTGAGTAGCCCGTGGTCGAGGAACGGTCTGTGGGTCACTTCACTGCATGCCGGGGGATTGTGAACTGGAAAGGATGTACAAGAAGTGGTCGCGACCTGACATTTGTCTGGATGGACTGAAGGAAACCACGAAAATCATTGGTGTTCCTACCAAACTTTCGAAACGACCACCTTCCGAATAAAAAAGTTCAGAATTCACACCGCTACTCCTAGAGGTTCCCAGGCAGTATAGAAGTAATGACGTTTCGGAGGAAATTTCTGCCTCCATCTTCAGGGTGTTTTCAGATTCTTCCAAAACGTTTGCTACCTATTTGTCAAATTATACGGCGTCATATCCTAGAGGACAAATATCGGCGAGCTGCTTCATGCTGTAACCTTTTGTCCGAATTTGGTGACGCGTGGCGAAGTTAAGTTACCATAGCAACTGTCGAAATAAACACGCTGTTCTGTAAATAGGTGATCTGGCAAGGAATGTACGGCTTTCATCCAGACGCGACGTTACTGCACCGCGCAAGTCGGACAGGAGAGCGGCCATTGTGTTCCTGGCTGTTATTTAACGACGCTACCTCCAGCTAGACTACATACCATCGAACAGTAACACAACTGATTAGTGATGAACTGGCAAGGATTTGGAATGAAGCTGTCGTGGCTACGAAACACGTGTCGGAATAGCCGGTATCTCGGTCGAGAATCGAACCGAGCACCTACCGAATACGAGTCGTGTTACCGTTACGCCAACCTGCTCGTTGAAAGGGACACTGCAAAAATTACCCACGCTCTTTTAAACTTTATTTCCGGCATTTGTTTTCTTCGTCGGGGAAGATCCATACTCGCAACACAAGAAATTTCACACAACGCATAAACTGGGTTCAGTGCCAGCAACCGATGTTCAGAACGAGGAAAACAGAAAATCGCTTGACTGCCTACTTGACGCCGTACGTAAAGCTTTCCAAGTCACGAAGGGGATGTCTAGCCGCCTTCACGTTAGCCGTTTTTACTCCTCGAAAAAGAACCTCACGGTATAAAAACGCTGAATCCCCCTGTGATCCTCGCTCGAAGAGAAAGGCCTTGCCCCTAGCCGGAATCAAACCCCGGTGTTATACAGACTCTTAAAGAGACGCATCAGTTATTTATATTCCAAAGTTACTAACTTGATAACCTTAAGTTCGGTTTTCGGCAACGGTTCTGGAGCCACCAGACGCCCATACTAGCTCCCGCCTGAGGGTTGCCCCCCGAGAGGTGAAGCAGGACGGATCGTCAGACTACCGTCTTTCATTTTATACCAAGAATTGGAAGCATAGAATTTTATCTCCATGCCCCATATACGCCTTCACGGCGTATAGGTTAGGTGCATCTCGTACTGTGCCTACAGAACTATATTCTTCATAGCTACTTACTTACTTATGGAGCTGAGCCCTTCTGGAAGAGCCGCCAATTCTGCAGCTACTCAAGAACTTCCCAGGATTTTATGGGCCCCGAAGGTTCATTACCGTGTTCACAAGAGCCCTCCACTGGTTCCTATCCTGAGCAAGATCAATCCAATCAATACCATTCAATCCTATCTCTCTATGATCCATTTTAATGTTATCCACCCATCTACGCCTTGGTCTTCCCAGTGGTCTCCTTCCTTCTGGCTTTCCTAGTAATACCCTATATGCATTCATCTTCTCCCCCATTCGTGCTACATGCCCTGCCCATTTCATAGCTACGTAGTTGTGAAAGTTCATTAGTGATCTGCTTATATCCGTATTTACTTCACTACACTGATGACTTCTGAGTTACAGCGTACATAATCATCTGTTCGTCTCTCTCGAATGCGTTTCATACATCGACATTAAATGGCATTTAGACCAAGTATCTGTTGTTTCCTGCTGTGGGTCTTGACGTAGCTCTGAAGCTGATGAAGACAGTTACGACAATTAGAATTACTCGAAAAAATAAGGGCAGATATGGACGCGGTCCTGTATTGCAACATTCGCCAGGAGTAACCTAAGCACTGAAATAACTTCGTAATTTTGCTGTGAGCACTTCGCGACACTGTCAGTAGCCAGGATAGTGAGCGTCGAATGACAGTATGGCTGCTATGGGATGAATAGGGAAGGATTCTGAAGGAGACAGTAGTGAGCCCGACTGAGATATTGTTGCGGCGTTTGCCTGGAGGGAAATTCGTAATTGAAGAGTATTTACCTTTACGGATGTGGTGACATGTATTCTGGTTGAAATTCACTGACGTTCGTCAGAAACGTCGGTAAAATTCTACTGAACTATACGGCGTCACATCCCACTGACAGCACACTCCATAGTTACCATCATGAGAAAATAAAATCTAAAAAAAAAAAAAATCGTTAATTGGTTACGCAAAAGTTCACGATATATTACATCCTTACCAGGGCTCGAACCCAGGATAAGATGAGGAGGATCTTGAGTTCAATTTCCGACCGTCGTTCAAAAAAACGCACCACGTTTTCACCCTCGATGGCACATGAACCCAGGGCCTACAGCGTGGAGAGCACAGGACTAATCTCCGAGCACAGCCGCACACATAAGAGCCCCAAAATGGAATGCAGAAATGTACAATTTGATCAACAGAAAACACTTGCGCCACTGTAGGTGACAAAATTTCACTTTCACCCTAGAAATAAACGCGCGCGACGAGCCTGAGGGCAAGATACTGAACTAACCGCACGCAGCGCCGGAAATAGTTCGGATCGTCGCCGCTAGAGACCACTACCATTCAGATAAGATATTTTAGGTTCTCAGTGCGAAGAATATTAATACTGCGACCTTCTGAGGTTTGCCTTACGAGGCTCTCGGCATCTAGAGTAGACTATATAGTATTGAATTATAGGATGATTGGTGAATGATCAATTTGAAAGGTTCTGTAAGAAAGCGATCGTCCGGACGGTCTGAGGAAGCCTACGAAGAACCTCAGTCAAGATAGTGGGTATTCCGACTGAAGCTCGAACCGAACACCTCCCGAATACAGTTCCAGAGCGTTACCTCTTGACCCACCTGCTCTGTTATATCCTGTAGTATTGTTAGTGGTTATTAACGTTTCATAGGAATCCACTGCGTCCATCATCTGGGTGAAAGTGAAGATTGCGCAGTTGGTTTCTCTGTAACGACCTATTACAACGCGCGGTGACATAACCTCAGAAGACCACAATCTACAAGTGACAGCCTTCTAACCGAAGACACATGTGGGCTTGGAGCATCTAAAAATCAATGCATTTCTGTCTGTCATTTATGTGTGTACATACACGCACACACGCTTGCCCTATAAATAATCTTAATTATAACCTGTAAACGCAACCCTATGGACACTGTCGAGAGGACTATAATAAACACTATCTATAGCGGCTTAACCAGCAGGACGCAACAAAATATGACTAATATATTGTGACGGAATATGACCATTTGCTACGCAACGGTTAGGTAAACATTTGTTTCCGCGGCAGTGAATCTTAACCAAGACATTGTGACAGCACAACAAAACAGAGGAGCTGTTCGACATGGCGACTTCTATCCAGGCCGCATGGTAGCGAGGAAATCCCGTGCGGAGGCAAGAGGCGACAAAAAGGAAAATCTCAAATCTGAGCGAGTAAAATATGGTCGCGAGTGCCACGGGACCCGGACCCGAAAATGACTGCGCTGACGAGGACCAGCAGCAATTGTAAACAATAGGCCCATCCTCTCGTCAGAGAGGGCCCCCAACATCAAACCCTCAACTGCCTGACAGTAATAAAAATCTGGTCGTAAGCCCCAGATGGGTGCTCTATTCAAGACAGACTGGCCGACTGGCAGTCGGTTGTAATGAGACTCGACTCGGAGCAGTAGCAATGAGTCCGAGATTAGACTCAGCTTCAGACAGGAATAACAGACTCTTCGAGAGATTCGTCAGATAGACGTTGTTCAGGAGTTCAATGTGTGAGCTGTTATAATTTAGTGTACTTATATAGAAGTGCCAATAAAACCCAATCATTAAATCCAGAACCCAGTATTATTAGTCACGCAAACCCCTTACATGTGACAACATATACACACTCTGGGTATTTATGTGAAGGCATTTAAGGGACTGTCGCCAGATTGTGAAAAAGAAATCCCTGTGCGATTTATTTTCTCATCCTCCTTGAGTTGATTATTTTAATAATATCTGATGCAGAGTACAAGTTAAGATAGTCTTCACTGTGTAAAGTTAATAAATCATGAAACCTCTTCATTGGAAGATGTCCTTTGCTTTCAATCAGAATTTGCATTACCGGAATGAGGACAAACGATTCTGCTGTATAGTGTTGCTTAATATATTTGAATTATGGGAAAAGAAGGGTTTGCCATTACGCACGACGGTTTTTGTAGTATTTGAGGTTAAGGCGGTGGTTAAGAGAGTTCTGTCTTCTGGGATAGCATTCGCTGTAGTCATTTAAAAGTAAACCGATGCTTAGAAGAAACACGTTGTCTCACTCTGCTTAATGCTGGTTTCTTGCTAGGCTTACTTTTCAACCCTGAAGATAGAGGCGACATGTTCCTCCGAAACGCTCATTGACTTTCATCGGACTGCGCGGAGTTGGAACCTAGAAGACAGCGCTTACAGCGCCCCCTTTTTTTATTGCTAGTGGGGTGGGACTAAGTCCCTTGTACTGCTGCCACTTCTGACCTATTGTACCAGCCCCAGATGATAGGTGAGGGTGATTGTGGAGCAATTGGTGGAATGAAGATTGGCAGGGGAACCGAAATACTCTGAAAAAATCTGCCCCGGGATCGAACCCGGGCCGCCGCGGTGGGAAGCCAGCGACCCTAACCACTTGGGCTATGGCGCGGACCTGACAGCCTTTATTTACTTTTTGTGATAGGATCTGTAGCATCGTCTTGCTGTGACTCCTTTTCATGTTCTGCATCAGTGCAGTCTGCAGGGTCTGCAGGGACCGGCAGGGAAGGTATAGAAGGCAGTGGGAAGAAACATGGCTCCCGTGAGTTCCGAAGGAGATTCAAGCGACGCGGAATCGGGCGGTAATGCAAATGGAATGTCTTATTGTTAATGCAGATAGCTAAATTGAAACATAATACGCTCTTAACTGGGGAACAGTATTTATAATGTAATTATTTATAGCAGCTGGCAGCAGAACAATTTCTAGTGAACATAACCTCTCACAACCAATATACAGCAGCTGTATGAACCATGTAATATACAGCGAACTGTTTTTCTATTTACTCTTATTCGCAGGAAGAGATTCTGGATCAGATTCTGAAAGCGGCGGTGGAAGGTCGAGCCGTAGCAGCAGTCGTAGCGTCAGTCCAGCAAGCCATCATGGTGTGGCCCCTACACCCGGGCGAGCGTCAGGCAATTCGGGAAGTGAAAGTGACAGTCACACAGAAGCTACACTAGCGAGATCAAATAACGATGGAGAATACTCACCAGGGTCACCAGTGAACGGCGCTGAGTCGGAGCAAGGTTAGAAACTCACATGTTCAACTTCTTATTGCTTGTAGTTAACAAGCCTAGACTTACTCTGTCCATCTATCATCACTGTCTCTTGCAAATTACAGAGGTGGGGTCACCTAGTGCGAGGTCTGAGGGTAGCCCTCGATCCAATGATAGGTCACAGAGTCCTGCCTCAAATGCAAGCAGCCAACATGAATCAGCTGGAAGTCCACATTCACCAGCCTCCAATGCCAGTCCGAGGTCAGCTCGGTCTAATGCAAGCAGTAGACATTCACGGAGGTCATATGCTAGTCAGCATTCCCCAGCATCTAATGTGAGTCAGCACTCCCCCAGGTCTGACGCAAGTCAGCATTCTCCCACATCTAATGTGAGTCGGCACTCACCCAGATCCAGCACAAGTCAGCATTCTCCACGGTCTCAGAGTGCAGAACAGGAGGTCGGCAGTCATCACTCTGATGTGGAGTCACACCAGTCACGCTCTCCCAGCCCAGAAGATAAAAATCAGTCACCTTCCGGTATGTTTTTTTTGAGCATAACTTGGATCACTTTAGTCCATTTCTCTACGGCACATTTCTCACAGTTTTTAGAAGTGAGGATGGTACAAGGTGACCTCAACTTTAATTCCCTAGTTCTAGTTAAATTACCAGATATTTAGGATAGGAGTGAACATATTTGTTAAAATATATCAAGTCATTAGAGACCAGATATAACGTTACTGGACGCTCCCCTGACCGAGAGTTATATAAAGGAGATTTCCAGTTGTTTCTGCAGGGTGCTTGAGTAGCCGTCACTAGAACTGTCTGTAGTGGGATTCACTGACAGTGGAACCTTGAAGCAAGCTTACTCATAATGCATGAGCCCATTCAGCACCCCAAGTCTTATTCGCTTAGTCATGCTTGCTGCTTCCTTCACTTGCTTTATACCCCTCAAGATGGAGGCAGTATGTTCCTCAGAAATATCACTAAACTTCTACCAGACTGCACGGCATCACATCCTGGAAGATAGTATTCATCACTGATGGACAGACAGTTCAGCTGGGGAGACACTTCATACCGAATTTCAGTGTGGAAATGAGAGGATAACATTAAGAGGGATCTCAGTCAGGATGTGAGAATGAGAGAACCTACTGAGGGTAATTTCCAATGCCGGGCTTTGGGGTCGGCAGTGTTGAACATTTCGGTTCTGTTACCAGGTACTTAGTTCTGTAATTAAGATGGTCAGCTTTCTTAAAGAGCAGTAAATAGATCTGTTTATCTGTGCACAAATAATTCAGTGGATAATGTTTCAGTGCTGTAGGTATTCAAAGCAGCATCTGATAAGTTCCATTAATTCATATTCTGATGTATTAGCACTGGTGGGAGATGGAAGTGTACATGAGAAGCGCGTCTTTGGAACAACCAAATCGATGAGTTGGAATATTGACCAAGCAAGTTGGTGTCACAGTAGTTCTCTAGATTTGTATTTGAGAGGTCCTTAGTTCAAATTTTTGCTGTGACACCAGTTATCCTGATTGTATGGTTGATCTCAGTCCTGCCATGAAAATGCAGGGATTACACCTTAGCATGTGGTCGCTTTCTTTCAAATTGTTTTCAATTCATTATTCATCAACTGTGCTACCATTTGGTAGTATACAGTTGGAGATGCTGACAGCATCATAACATATGTTGAAATGTTACTGACAGGACTGTATTCCTCATTTCAGGCTCTCGGTCCCCGAGTCCAGCCAAAAGTAAGTCACGATCACCGAGTCCTCATGACGATACCCAGAGCAACTCTGAATCGGAAAGATCTGCTAGAGCTTCAGACACTGAAGAGAGAACATCAGTTAAGAGTGGGGCGGATGAAAAGTCCGGTATGTATATGAATTATGAATTGCCAGGTGGCCATGTCTTGGCATTCACAGATTGGTTCCATGAAGTTTGTCATTAAAAACAATTGTTTTGTCTTACGAATAGTAATTACCACTCAATCTTAAATAGGCTAAGTTTAAGTTTATATATTAACATTCACAATTTAATGTGCATGGATTTACAACACTGTGCTACGAGCTGGAAGGTCGTGGGTCATTGGATTTTTCAATTGACCTAATCCTTCCAGCCGCATTATGACCCTGGGGTCGACTCAGCCTTTAACAGAAATGAGTACCAGGAATCTTCCTGGGGTAAAGGGCGGCCGGTGTGTGAGGCTGACAACCTCACCTCCATCTGTGAGCTGATTGTCTAGAAAAATGTGGGAAACATTAATGTTAGTGCCTCATAACTTTAGCCGCGCGGAAAGGTAAACACTGTTGTGGAGCACGTGAAGCTGTACGCTTGCTGTGGTGACGTTCAGAACATTGCCTATGGGGACCAGAAGTAGATACACAACGTACTGTACCCCTGAACACACTCCAAGACGCTACATTCCAAACTGGTAGTACCCACGCTGATGTAAGCTGATAAGACTGCTCCCCAAGCTCTGCGAGAGATGGTATGACCCCTCTACCATGGCTAGAGTTCCAAGGAACTAACAGTACATCTCACAACCTTATTGGCCTCCATGTCCCATTACAGAGATAGCTCTATCTTTATGGATTTACAACACAGATGATATACACGTATAATCAGATCACACCTAGCATATATAAAAAAATTAAAGAAAAACCTGTCTGCAAGAGATTGTGATAAATGTAAAATCAAGAAAATTCTGTTTGTTATCTTGAACAGTACTGTTTTCTGGGAAGCTATGTAATGCAGAATGATAGAAATTTATCACTGTTTTGGAGGATCATACAGACTCCATCTTCAGGGTGAAACATGAGCCAAGCAAGTAACAAGCACTGTTGCAGTCCAGTTCTCTTAAATGCTGGTAGTCAGATTACAGAGTGTCACATTTGTTTCTGTAACCGTTTTGCAGATGGTGAGAAGACATCAGTGAAGGGAAAAGATGATGAAAGTAGCGGTGATGAAGGAGAAAAGAAATCTGGAAGTGACAGTGAAGATGACAGGTGAGAAGAGACTTTAATGCAGGGAACCGCAGGCAACATCACATTTTCTCGTTCTCTTTNGATGAATCTGTGCAGGAAAATTATAACAGAAGCCATCTGACAGAGGATAGGAGGACCTCAAGTTTCAGAGAGGGGGGCATTCCACCTCGGAGAGTCTTGACATTACTTTCGGCAAAGTCGGACACTAAATTTACCTCTACGGCCCTTCCGTAGAATAGTATAAGTACAGTACAAAGCAACAGTAGTAAGAAATTCAGTTGTATTCAGAAAGTTGGAAGGTATTAAAGGACTACTAAGTGCAACCGTCAAAAGGTGGGTGATTGTAGTGAAGTGTTCTTCCTGCCCTGTCCGAGCCAGACCCTTATAAGACCCTGGGATAGGAACCCAGCTCTACTGATTAAAGTAAAGAACCCAAAGAAGTGAGCGGTGGTGGAGTGGCGCACAACGAAAAGGGCACAAAGGAAGTGAGCGGTTACGTTAATCTTTTCCCATCCTAAGACACTTTTGGAGCAGAAAATATAAAACTCCTGTCATCTGTTCTTTTCATACTGAAACTACTAGATGTAACACAGAGCGTGCAATGAAAACGTGGCAGTACACATCCAACGATACAAGGCATGCAGCCACAAGAGTAGAACACATCATAAGACACAATATACACACAACATTAGAAACATAAGAAGAATGACCCCATGTGGATGATCAATAATGCACACGAATTTAAAAATATGACATATGAGATAATAGATTTTAACAAGTTTTAAATACATAAACTTTATTATTATATAAGGACGAATACAAATGTAATATTATTTGTAAATGGACATATAAAGGCAAGCAATGAAATGGTTAACGGACCGATACACCTGAAGATGGCAGCATATTGCCGAATAGTGTAGAAGTGGTGAATGGTATTGTATGCACTTGAAGACTGTTAATACAAAATACACATTATGAATATGAATCAGTGCAACAGGATGCTAAAATACAACATAGTACATTTGTAAGTTAGAGGGAGGACAGCTTCTGCTGATGAATCTGTGCAGGAAAATTATAACAGAAGCCATCTGACAGAGGATAGGAGGACCTCAAGTTTCAGAGAGGGGGGCATTCCACCTCGGAGAGTCTTGACATTACTTTCGGCAAAGTCGGACACTAAATTTACCTCTACGGCCCTTCCGTAGAATAGTATAAGTACAGTACAAAGCAACAGTAGTAAGAAATTCAGTTGTATTCAGAAAGTTGGAAGGTATTAAAGGACTACTAAGTGCAACCGTCAAAAGGTGGGTGATTGTAGTGAAGTGTTCTTCCTGCCCTGTCCGAGCCAGACCCTTATAAGACCCTGGGATAGGAACCCAGCTCTACTGATTAAAGTAAAGAACCCAAAGAAGTGAGCGGTGGTGGAGTGGCGCACAACGAAAAGGGCACAAAGGAAGTGAGCGGTTACGTTAATCTTTTCCCATCCTAAGACACTTTTGGAGCAGAAAATATAAAACTCCTGTCATCTGTTCTTTTCATACTGAAACTACTAGATGTAACACAGAGCGTGCAATGAAAACGTGGCAGTACACATCCAACGATACAAGGCATGCAGCCACAAGAGTAGAACACATCATAAGACACAATATACACACAACATTAGAAACATAAGAAGAATGACCCCATGTGGATGATCAATAATGCACACGAATTTAAAAATATGACATATGAGATAATAGATTTTAACAAGTTTTAAATACATAAACTTTATTATTATATAAGGACGAATACAAATGTAATATTATTTGTAAATGGACATATAAAGGCAAGCAATGAAATGGTTAACGGACCGATACACCTGAAGATGGCAGCATATTGCCGAATAGTGTAGAAGTGGTGAATGGTATTGTATGCACTTGAAGACTGTTAATACAAAATACACATTATGAATATGAATCAGTGCAACAGGATGCTAAAATACAACATAGTACATTTGTAAGTTAGAGGGAGGACAGCTTCTGCTGATGAATCTGTGCAGGAAAATTATAACAGAAGCCATCTGACAGAGGATAGGAAAGGGTTTTGAAACAGCCATGATGAATACTAGCACAGCCTAAATATGAACTTCAGAAATATCTAGGAGGTGAGGTAGGGCAGTGTGAGGAATTGAGACATCTCTCCCATTAGTTCCTTGACTTATGATCCATAACTTGTTAGTGTTCGATCTACTAGTCGTTGTGTTATTTGCTGGGCAGTAACAAAGTTACCCCGGAAACTGGATAACCTTCATCGAAGGTTCATTGCCAGGGAATTTCTAATGTAAAACACTGCAAAGCGTTGCTCTACTAGTCGTTGTGTGTTATTTGCTGGGCAGTAACGACGTTACCACGGAAACTGGATAACACTCTTCAGTCCGGTAACCTACATGCTAGTCCCCGTTTGTATGGTGTGCCCTACTGCAGTGTTTCTGGTCTACAGGAAAAGAAAGCATGCGGGTTTGAGCGATACTAGTGGCTCTGATGCTGACACCAATCGTTCTCCTAAGAAGAAGCGACCTGCCATGATTGGTTCTGGCAGTGAGGACAGTGATGCTGGGGCGGGGAAGGGCAGTGCAGATGAAGATGAGAAGGAACCGGCCGGTAATGGTAATCACACTTGTTAGTTTTCTTATTTATAATATACAGTGGACTCTCCAGAAATAGTTGTGGGAATTTTAACTGGGCCACACCATAGCTCAGGCAGTTAGGCACTGGCAGAACTGCAGAACCTTGGGTTGTCTCAGGTGATTTCATGTGAGATTTATGTTGGACAGAGTGGAGCTGCAGCAGGTTTCTCTTCAAGTTTCTTCAGTTTTCCTGTGACCTGTTCCAAATTAATGATGCGAGACTGAAGTTTTCACGGCAGTGAGTAGTATTAAGAGAGTGGTGTTCCGGGATATGATGCCATGTAGTCTGGTGGGTATGTTCCTTCTAAATGTTAGTACCTGTCCACTGGACTTCATAAGATTCACTTTCCAGATGCCCATAATTATAATTTTTCCAGATTTATTCTGTCACACTGAGAGATGCATATCCTTTGTGCAAGGGGTAGCCTATAGCAGTGAAAATAAATAATAATTTGGATGATTTAGTGTGTTATATCTTCAAGAAAATAAATACTGAAAGGAAATAGAGTGATCCAGAATTATCAGTTTGTGCTGTATCAATTTGAGACTGTGTAGCTTATAAAAAGCTTATGAAATAATTGAGGCAGTTATGGATAGTCAGGAGGATGAGAGATGGGCAGGGCATGTAGCATGAATGGGGGAGGGGAGAAATGCATATAGGATATTGGTGGGAAAGCTGGAAGGAAGGAGACCACTGGGAAGACCAAGGCGTAGGTGGGTGGGCAATATTAAACTGGATCTCAGAGAGATAGGATGAGATGGTATTGATTGGATTGATCTGGCTCAGGATAGGGACCACTCGAGGGCTCTTGGGAACATGGCAATGAATCTTTGGGTTCCATAAAATGCTGGGAAGTTCTTGAGTAGCTGCACGATTGTCGGCTTCTCAAGAAGGGCTCAGCTCCACATGTGAGTGACAGAATAGTCAGAGCGGAGAATGTCCGCAGTACCGGTCTTTATAATATTCCCTATAGGGTGGTCCTGATCCATGATACACACCTATCAATCATAAACACTGCTGGTGAAATTCAGAAGTATGTAACTGCCATGAGACACACATTGTTCTAGCAGCAGATGCAGCCATGTTGTTTGGAGATGCTGATGACATCACATCAGATGAGGATGAACAAGAAGCTCCTGCTGCGGAATCTCCCGCCTCGAGGCATGGCTCAGGGGATGAGAGAGAGAGGGAGCAAGAGAGAAGTCGAGACCGGGACGACGAAGATGAGAACAGGACTTCAATGCCTGTCATTGAAGATGTGGGTATTTTTGAAACAGCATTTGTTAATTCCCTGTGGCAATAGGAGCAATGAACTGGGATAGTTCAGTCAGTGAAACGTTAATAGCAAAATGAGTGCCTCAAATGACAATCAAAGAAACTCTGATGCTGAGGTAGCGTCACTTCAGTCAGTGATGTTGTTTGCTAGGGATTTGGTTATGTGATGATAATTTCTGTGAGAGAGAAAAATTTGGTATCAACTATTACTTCGACTACAGTCACTCCAAATCAGTGTATGAGCTGTGGAAGGCCGAAAATTTCTTATGCCAAATGCAGGTGAATTGACAGATAGGATTTAACTCCATACAGGCAAATAACACATTATTTATATGGTTTTCATTTGGGACCAGACTGAATATTAGTGGATTTCACTGTATGTTGGTATATTTTCCAGTATGGCATATTAGAATATTCTTATAGAACAGTGAATTTTATTCCTGTTTTGTAATAATACAGACAAACTCCGTTGCCTGTAGTCTGACAGCGAATTATACCGACCGAGCAACCGCCGCTTGTCGGCGAAGTTAGTGCCAACTTTTGCAGATAGAGGGTGTCTCGTGATCAGCACAGTGAATCCCCATGGCCATTAATCTCGGTTTTATAGACCGGAGCAGCTATTCCCTTGAAATTGCTACTGAATTATCCTGACGAGGCTAAGTACACCCTGTACCAGACACCCTACTTGTCAGAAAATCTGGTAGTGCCAGGAATCGAACCCAGGACCTCTGGATCTGTAGGCAGGAACTCTGAGCTCTAGACCACAGAGGCGGTCATCATGCTTTGTAATGGCAGTTGAAAGAGAGCATGAAAAATGTGAAACTCATATTTTTAACTCTGAAACACGTTAAGCTGTCTGGCAGGACATGAAAGAGTTTTAACCACTGCATCTGTTGCAGGATGAAGCAGAGAAGGAACTAGACGAGCCTCCTCCAGAAACAAGGATTGATGTGCAGATCCCAAAGATCAGTTCAGACTTGGGAAGAGAGATTCATTTTGTGAAGCTTCCCAACTTTCTGTCCGTGGAGACACGACCGTTTGACGCAGAGACTTATGAAGATGAAATTGACGAAGAAGAGACCCTGGATGAGGAGGGACGGGCCAGGTACGGATGAGCCTCATGTGGGCATGGGATTCTAAGAGCATGTAGGAACTAGTGAGTTGATCTTTAGTCAACATGTTATTTTGAAAGGAAACACAGGTTTGTGGTTTCATGTTCATGATATTGAGAACTGGAGGCAGCAAACTCATGCTACTAGTGAAATGTGATAATCGTGGTAACCATAGTAAAAAGAGTAACAGATATTCAACTTTTAAGAAATGTACATAAAGTCCAGTGACAGTTTATTGAATGGTAATATGCAGCTTTATGCCATACAGCTTACAATTTCTATGGTAGAATGGTAATGAAAGTGCTTTAAGAACTTTAAATATATATTGACGATATTAATAAGTGTGCAGATTATTTCAAGGCACATACATCAGAATAGAATTGAAACTTGTAAGTAATATGTTCAGTGTTTTGATTGAACATGTTGTGAATAGCCACATATGTTCAGAACGATAAGGTGCAGGGAAAGCATGCACTGCAGTACGGACTGAATCTCTGCAGTCTTGTTCTAATTTTGCAGGCTGAAACTGAAAGTAGAGAACACTATCCGGTGGCAGGTGCAGGGAAAGCATGCACTGCAGTACGGATTGAATCTCTGCAGTCTTGTTCTAATTTTGCAGGCTGAAACTGAAAGTAGAGAACACCATCCGGTGGCGTGAGGCATTTGACAAAGGGGGCAACCCATGCAAGGAGAGCAACGCCCGATTCATCCGCTGGTCAGATGGCAGCATGTCCCTTCATCTTGGATCTGAGATATTTGACGTTTACAAGCAGCCATTGCAGGTTAGGCATCGTATTCATATAACTTGTCTGGTGTCAGTAGCACTGAGATATGTCATTTAAGCATTTATGGGCCAGTAAATGTTGTCTTTCATATGTAACAGTGTACTGTATCATATTTAGTACATAGTTCAAGTGACACGAAATGGTACTTGTTACAGGGTGATCATAATCATCTGTTCATTCGACAAGGTACAGGTCTTCAGGGGCAGGCTGTGTTCCGTACCAAACTGACCTTCCGTCCCCATTCCACCGAGTCTTTCACTCATCGCAAGATGACCCTGTCTCTTGCTGACCGGTCACAGAAAACGTCAGGCATCAAGGTGCTGTCACAGGTTGGCTGGGACCCAGAGCAGAATAGGGGCCAGATGATCAAGGCAAGTTTCAGTAGCATCTGTAATGTTGTAACATTCAGCATTACCCCTCTCCGTATTATTCAGTACAAACTTAGAATGAAAGTAAGTAGATTCTGAAGGGTTCTGATTATAGTGTATAACACTCAGAACTACTGGGTTTTTGCACTTTTTCCATCGTCCAGCGTTCTATAAAATAGAAAACATGACATTTCAGAAAATGGATCTGTTTCCATCCTCAGGTGAATGGGAGTGAAGACACCTGTTCATTTGGGTTCCTCAGTTCAGGTTAGCTCTTTCTAAGGGACCCAACTGAATAGGTATGTTCTTCCCCACTCACCTGTGGACGGAGATAGAGCCAGTTTCTGAAATGTCGTGTTTTGTATCTTCTAGAAAACCGGACAATGGAAAAAGTGCAAAAATGCAGTAATCCTTAGAAGGAGAATGTTAGATAATATTTTGTATGAAGTTGATAGAAGTGAGATTCCTTATAAACAATTAAAGAGAAATGTTTCTTACAGAAAGAGGAGGAACGCCTACGTGCCTCTCTGCGTCGGGAGAGCAAACAGAAGCGTGTGCGTGAGCGAGGTGCCAGCCGAGGATTGAGTGCCGGCTATTTGGAGCCTGACACCCGTGAGGAGGAGGGTTCTGAGGATGAAGGTGCAATCTCACTCGCTGCCATCAAGAACAGGTACAAGAACAGGACAGCCGCTTCCAAAAGTGAGTATTTATCACTTACAATCAGTAGCCATACATTGAGATGGACCTCAGAAAGAAAAGTGACAGAACCTAAAACTGGATTGAAATATGCAATCTTCTTGGTTGCAACACTGTGCAGTTCAAGACAGCCCGATGTTTCAGAGCAGCATAGTGCTTACATCTTCAGAATTGAGGAATAAGCCAAACTCAGCTTACTAGTTCCATGCTGTCCTTACTCTTCAGCCATGAATGTGGGAACAACATGTTCCTCTGAAAAGCTGGGCTGTCCCCAGACTGCATGGTGTCCTAACCCACTTTGAGAACCGCGAATTCAAAATGATACTGAATCATTAACCTTGCATGTTTGTCTGGATCCATTACTTTACCTCAGGCTTTACTTGTGTCAATGTTTTGGTGGGTTTCATGTAATAAATAACTAAACAAGTAAAGATATCCCTGTAACAGCCCGTGGAGGCCCATAGGGTTGTGAGACGTCAACGCTCCCATATTTCCTAGACAGTCGGCTCACAGATGGCAGTGAGGTTGTCAGCCTTATGCGCCAGCCGCCCTTTACCACCAGGAAGATTTCTGGTATTCATTTCTGATAGAGGCTGAGTAGACGCCAGGGCCACAGTATGGCTGTAAGGATTAGGTCAATTGAAAAAATCCACCTCATCGGGATTTGATCCCATCATCTTCTGGCTTGTAGCATAGTGCCTCAACCAACTATGCTACTGCATACCCCCCATGTAATGAGTATATTTTGGAAAGTATTAGTCTAGTAGGCTGAGTCTGAAACCGGTTGTTTGTCAAGCTTTACACATGCTGTTCCATTCACTTGGACTCTTTCTACTCTGGACAGTATAGTACGTGGGAAGGTTGTTTTCCTGTTTAAGTAGCAGGGGGTTATCACTGTATATTAACCACTGACCAAATTTAAAATTCTGCTGAGGCATTTGAAAAACAGATGCAGGTCTGACAGTATGAGAGAATTAGTTAGGCTTGGGTTAATATTATTCCCAGGTCTGATGGAAATTAAGGAATGATATTCATTTTGCATTGTTGTGTTGTTACATTAATGTGAGGGTCATGCCATAGCTCAAGCAGTTAGTTGCTGGCTTCCCACCGTGGTGGCCCGGGTTCGATCCCGGGTCTGGTCAAGTGGAATTTGTGGTGGACAAAGTGGCGCTGGGGCAGGTTTTCTCCGAGTACTTCGGTTTCCCCTGCCAATCTTCATTCGACCAATTGCTCCACAATCACCCTCACCTATCATCTGGGGCTGGTACAATAGGCCAGAAGTGGCCGCAGTACAAGGGACTTAGTCCCACCCCACTAGCAATAAAAAAAAACTTTAATGTGAAATAAATTAATGCATTTGTTTCCAACAGGTGACTCAAGGCCTCCCATCTATTCCTCAGATGAGGAGGGTTCTGACTTTGAGGCTCGCCGAGCAAAGAAGCTCGACAAAGCAAAGGCACTGAAAGACTCAGATGAGGAATCTGGGTCTGGAAAATCTGCCTCAAACTCCGGATCAGGTTCGGGAGGGGACGGTGATGATGATGCGGACCAGGCCGACAACCAATCAGCTGAGAGTGGAGATGATGAATAGAGAGATGATGATGATGATTCTATGTGTATATTTAATGCCAGAAGGAAAGAACAGATGAAATTTATGCCAATACAGTTTGTAGTATTGCAGTATATGTTCAAATGGGATGTGAGCAGCCTCAAGGAAGAGACATTTTAATATGAGAGATACGGAACTGAATGGTACTATCGTCTGGGTAGAAGTTTGCAGATGTTTTGGACGAATGTACTTCCTCCATCTTCATGGCTAAGGAGCGAGCTGAGCGGGCACATAATCAATGTAAACTTGAGACTTACAGGCTACAGCATCTGGTGTCACGTCCCCACTCACTGTCATGAGTACTTGAGCTCTCTGAGACCTCGAAGCTGAACATAAAGTTTCGTGGGAATTGGTTTTATGCACGGAGGAGAGAACTGAATAATTTTGCAAGGCATGATCTGATGAAATTACAAAATGAGGAGATTTATAATATGTAATCATCATGCAGTATTGTTTGTTTGTGACTGTCATTTACTGTGTACTGTCGAATGACTTGATGGTAATGAATAATGAATTTGAAATGTTGTTGAAGGAAACAGTCTTGGTTTTACTTAAAGTACTATCCCAGTGTTCATCTACAGGGAATGAGGAATTCCACAGAATAAGTTACCGGGGCAGTTGCTCCCATAGCCAATACTGTGTGAAGAAATCAGGGAGGATTGGTGGGGAGTACAGCATGCATGAGGGAGAATATAAATTTGTTAAAACATTTTCATCAGAAGACAAGAAATGGAGAGATCCAGACACAGATGGGAATGTATTGTGAAGATGCCTTTTATTACAGAAATATTAAGTACTCTTTATTAACGATAGTTATCATAAGAGAAATGTTATGGGAGTACAGATCTAGAAGATATTACTGGGTTATGTTAGGAATATGGGACCCTGTATTCCCCATAAGAACCTGGTTTCAGTATAGCACAGAATATTACATGGGCAAACCTACCATGCAAATGGAAAACCGGTAAATTACCAGTACGGTGGCGTTGGGGCAGGATTTCTGAGTACTTCAGTTTCCCCTGCCAATCTTCATTCCACCAATTGCTCCACAGTCACCCTCACCTATCATCTGGGGCTGGTACAGTAGGCCAGAAGTGGCCACAGTACAAGGGACTTAGTCCCACCCCACTAGCAATAAAAAAAAGTTACTAGCACAGTTCATGTGATGTGTTTCATACAAGATTCAGTCTGAGATTGCTAGACTTGTTTCAGACTGTAATAGCAAGATCAGGTGATGAATAGGGATCCTTCAAATTTTGTACAAAGGGAACTTTCTGAACAGCTGAATACTGAATGCACAGGGACAGTGATGCACGAGGAATATGGTTATCAGGAAGTGATTAAAATTAACATCTCATTAACTTCATCCTGTTTGGCCAAAAAACGATGCATTCCTGCAATTGCTTGTTTAAATTTATTAGATTTGTGGCTTGAAAACAGTGATTTCAAACATGGAATGTTATTTCAGTTTCACTGGTGTATAACATTATAATAGACTTCGTTTCAGCACACTTTGAGCACCCTCCATCAAAAATTTCCACCCATACACCAACACAAATAAATATGACACCTTTCAGACACCCCCATATGTATGTATAATGCATTTACATTTATGTAGGAAGTGGTACTTTGTAAAGAAATGTGTGTTAAATTAATTCTGCCGACAGACTTCTACAAGAGATAGAAACGCCAAATTTAGTTAAAATCAATACAAAGTGAAAAAAAAAAAACAGATGAACATGGGGAAGCTAACAGGCACTCAGAAATTGTCAGGCAAGTTGACTAACAGATAAAACAGTTCAACCAAACTGGAAGGTTATGCAGTCGCTGTAACAATTATTTCGATTTCAGTCGCGCACTGTTCTTTGTTTCACCCACTCGCCATGATGAGGCACAGGATATGAGCAGGGGCCTGAAACAAAAGAAACAAAACACAAAACAACTTCTATATTAGGAGCAACAAACACAAATTGGTAGTATTCAGCAAAATGAACACAGGAGCGTTACCTGTAATGTTGGTATTCTTGATGTCTTCTGTAACACAGATCTGCATATAAATGCACGGGTCTTAATCCGATGTTTCAATGTCGTCGATCGTGGAGGACGCACAACAGAGTTCCGGGTGTTTACTGCAGTTGCACAACTCAACAAACAACGCAGTAAGACTGAAAGTACGCATGACCGCGAGTCATTTGGTGCAAGAAATTACAACGAGGCATAGCGACGCCGGAATTTGCGTTTTCAGTTCGGTAATGAGTCCTCGTGGGAAAATCGAAACAAAAAGTCGACGGCTTCTTCAGTCTGAAAACGCATCTCATATTTATCGTGGCTGAAGGACACTCCCTTCGATGCGCAGATCAGATGAAAACATGTGAGCTCGGTCAAACCAGTGACGTTCCGACTGACGGAAAGAAAATCGCCGCAAAGTGACCCCCATATGGTGTCGCAGCCTGGCGACTGTATCCAGGATTATCCAACGCCAATAAATCCAGTTTAAACCTGATACAGCAGTTTCTTCAAACCCACATTCATTCTTGCGCCAGTTAAGTTTCTGGGTATGTGCAACCCGAACTCCGACAACAATCGGCGGTTCTTCCTGACGCGTGAAACGTGAAAAGTCGCCGATGTGAGTTCGGTCGCTTTGCTACTGACTTACCTGATGTGTTTCTTCGTGATGACAGTCGATGTCTTCTCTGATGCTGAAGCTGGAGCACAGTACATTGACCTGCCTTTGCGTCTCCTCATCGTAACATTTTATAAATCAAATTCACAGCAAATACACACAAACAAACATAACATGTCACGTCACAAATTTCAATATGCACTGCTCATGTTCGTATAGATTCAGTCACTTGTCTTTCAACGTTGAAGTGAAAGATGGACCAAAGCAAAATTAGGTTTTACTTTCCTGAATCTCTGCCCCTCCAATGCGAGTTATTCACAGGGAGGGGCCGTTAAAGTTCTTTTTATCTCTCTCCCTCTCGCACTCATCTCATTGTCGTGCCGACCGAACCCTGTCAAGTTGTCACCCTGTGATATAAAAAACTCACAGAAATACTTAAAACTAAACCCTCCTAAATGAGCGCCCACTATGCCAGCAAGGGCACATCTGGACACAAAACCTACATTCACGCAGCCTAACCAGAAATCCTATCGGGGGCACCTAACGGGGAGGGCAACACCTTACAAACTAAGTAAAAAAAATATCAAATGCACAGGGTGTCCAACTCGACCTTAACCTAAGCCCTGAGTCACTGCGGGTACCGCATCAAATACAGAGTTGCCTGGCAAGGTACTGCTAACGCGAGTACCCAACCCCATCCTCCTGCGGATGGGCCCTCAATCGCTAAAGGTTCCGTACGGCACTGTTTTGGTTTTAACGTTACGGTTTGCGCGGAGCTCCTCTTGCCATGGTCCCCGCTTCGAAGTCTGCCTCGTATGGATGGTGTTCCCACTGGAACGTTGCAGCCGTTGATATAATCCAAGGAAACAGCACAACACTGTAGCACAGATACTCAGAGGGTCGTTGCAATTGCGCACACAGCACAGCACAACACATCTCAACACAACACGTTATCCTCGTGTATAAACACGAATGCATAGAACTGCCAGTCTCCCCTTGAACGTCTGCACCACGCAATTCCCGAGTCTGTGACGTCACTGCGGGGCTTTGAAATCCGCGATATAACAGTTTGTAGCGATGCACAAGTGTGCGTATGTATCTCTGTTAAATCACAGCCGTAATGTCTCTGATAATCCTGTCAACATGGCGTCAATCTTCACGAAGAATATAAAGAACACAGAACTCAGTCAGACTGGAAGAAATACATTTGGTTCTCCCTAGAACCTGGAGCAGACAATCCGCTTCTGCAACACAGAATGTTAATCTCTTGAAATAAAACCACACACCTCAATCTGTTTATAAATATTGTCTTGGATGTGTTCACACGGAACACGCGATGTCTGTGTTTCCTTCAGTCTATAACGAAACAGTTCGCTCAGGTTTATGTGGAGAACGAAGCTTTAGAACGAATTTTTAAGTCACGTGACTACAACACGAGAATCAGTGGCAAATATCCTGTGACTGTGTCGGACATCCCCTAACGATGTCAAGTTGTAACCCTTATTTGGCAAAGTTTGCAGTTTACATATCTGAAATTCACTCGGGCGGCGGAATGTAACACAAAATGCAATGCCACGCCATAGCTCAAGCGGTTATTCGCTGGCTTTCCACCGCGGTGGCCCGGGTTCGATCCCGGGTCTGGTGAAGTGGGATTTGTGGTGGACAAAGTGGCACTGGGGCAGGTTTTCTCCAAGCACTTCGGTTTCCCCTGCCAATCTTCATTCCACCAATTGCTCCACAATCACCCTCACCTATCATCTGGGGCTGGTATAATAGGCCAGAAGTGGCCGCAGTGCAAGGGACTTAGTCCCACCCCACTAACAATAAAAGAAAAGTTCATGTAACAGACCTATCCANTTATTATTATTATTATTGTTATTGTGGTTTCGTGAGGAAGGCCATGGCATTCGATGCTTTGGAAAATGCTGAATGTCAAATTTGGAAGAAGCACTTCATTTTGGATATAGACGCATGGGGAGGAGGATAATATTAAAATAGATCTTGGAGAAGCGGAGAAGATGCGAACTACATCAGAGTGTTTCAGGATGCAGTCCAATCGAAGGCCCTTTCGATGATATTGATGATGATGGTGACAATGAATTTCATGTTCTGAAACGCAGGAAATGTCTTAAATATGAATATGTAGTGATAGATGGGAGGACTTGTGTAAAAGGGTCTGTTTCACTTCACTGCCTAGTTATATGCTGTCGAATGAGATGTGAAAATGCTGGAAGGGAAACAGAGGAACTCGTGTAATGAACCGCCAGGATGTGGCTGCAAGGACTGTCCCTAAGGGTCTGGAGAACCACAAACGTGGTGTTCAGTTGAGAATGCACAAAAGAATACTCTGATACAGTTCAGTTGTTGAGAGCTATTGCCGACGAAAGTGATTAGACATCTCAGGATGACAACGCCTTACACAGCGGCTATGTCCATACAAAATTTATGTATTGATATATTGGTGATTATTACTGAAGAAACTCACGAGAAAATCGGGATAAGAGCGAACGCTTTATATGAAGACAGTGTTGATTTGTCAACATTTGACGAAATTATAAATTATATTTATTGCAGTATAAAAAACAAATTTCGTGGTTTTAGTCCGCAAGCGAAATATATCGACCGAGCGATCGCCGCTTATCGGCGAAGTTAGTGCCAACTTTAGCGGATAGATGGTGTCGCGTGGTCAGCGCAACGAATCCCCACGGCCGTTTAATTCGGTTTTGTAGACCGGAGCCGCTACTTTTCCATTCAATTAGCTCCTCAATTATCGTCACGAGGCTGAGTGGACCACTTTCAAAACTTCTCAGAAAAAATCTGATAGCCCCGGGAATGTAACCCAGGACCTCTGGATCTGTAGCCAGGAACTCTGACTAGTAGACCACAGAGACGGCTGCTATAAAATCGAGAAAAATTCAAGATAATAAAAATTGCCTTGCAGGAAGACAGAGTTTATTAATTAATATGAGATATAAATTATAATTGGTATTTATTATTGAAGAAAAACACGAGGGACCTCAGGATAGCACAGAACGTCTTGTAGGGAGTCTGTGCCAATTAACATTGGATGAAATAGCAATTGATATTTGTTAATTGTTGAAAATCAGGACAACTGAAAGCGCCATGGAAAGCTGTTCTGTCTGTCTGTCCGTCACACCTAACAACATCGGAGTCTGCCTTTACTTTTTCCATACGCTTTCTTACTATGAATTCTTTTTAAGATGCAAATTTGAAGGCCTTTTTTGGTCTTTTTGTTGAATCATGACTACCGACTGAAACATTAAATGCAATTTGTTATAAAATTTGACAATTTTGGAGAAGTTTTCGGAATAAAACGATGACACGCAATTAAAACTAATTTACAGAGGATACACTGTTCCACAGACTTGCTAAGTTTGCATCCTCATAGAGTAAACAATTTAATATATTTTGTATAACGACATGTCATTATTATTAATAGAAATTATAATTCAAACATTACAAAGGTTCCGAAGTAATAAAAAATGAACTTTGTTGATTCTCTGCCGACCAACCTCGAACCACATATCACGGGCTGAGGAAAGCTCCATGTAATGGAAACTTTCTTTTCGAGACTTGTGATTTTGTATCCTCTGAGAAATTTCAAACACATTAATATATTCAGTGCAACTGAACGCTGTTTCAGCGCTGTCAGTTCTGAACCGGAAACCGAAAGAATTCTTACGTCTGGCTCTAAATCCAGACCTGCAGGTGGCAGTGGGCGCGTGTGGAAGTACAAATCACGAAACGTTAGTGTTTGCCGGCCATGCGCAAGGAAAGAGAGAAACCAGCATGAAGAGGAGTGACGAAGCGTTAGTTGTTAGTGTTAGTTAGTGTTAGTTAGTCAGATAGTGATTTGTACGTTCATATGTGGAAATTGGCATAACAATTTATATGTCAGACTCTGACGTCATCTTAACGTTCGATTGATACACGTGACGTGACTGGTTTTGTTGTCGGAATGAAGGGACAACGTAACAACAGACTGAAGGGACAACAACATTTCCCACCGTTGAAAGTATTAAATAATTTTAAAAGAGTTTCAACCACATCGCAATGGAGACACTGCATGCGCATAATTTGCAGAACCAAGCAACGCTAAAATACTTTAAAACGACTCGGGTGATATTACAATAAACGTTTAATTCAAACGGTTTCCTCTTCGTAAAATTCGCGATATCCTGGCAAATTCCTATAAAGTTCAGACTGTAAATTAGATGGGCGGAACATGTAGCACGAATGCAGGCAACAGGATACCAATTTTTATTGAAAAGCAGCAGCACTTCCAACACAAAACATAAATGAGAGAGGCGTTCTTTACTCGTGTCGCGTCTGTCCGTCTGTCCGGGGGCTAATGTCAGACTCACTATCCGTGAGGCGACCTTGGAAAGTTTTGCACTGAGCAACACTGTTGCACCAATCGCTTTGGGCCATTCCGTGACACTGTGAATGTTGCTTTACTTGAAGGCCCATCTGTTGAACAGCGACTGGTAGGTTATCTGACGACGCTGTATCAACTGGATACGCTCCTTAGCGCCAAGCTGGAATCAGGCCGGTTCTGCTTGCCGGAAGAAACGAGCCAGAAGCAAAGGAGTAGATCAGCAACATCAGACAGGAAGAGTCAAGGCTGCCAGATCAGTCAGCGTGTAGCTCCCTGGTGAGGGGCAGAGATATCCGAGTGTGGGCACACTGAACTGTATCCACCTGTCCCCGGGCAGTTTAATATTATTTCAAAGAACCCAGACTTAGACAAGGAACGTCTTACAGCAGTGGAACAAGAAACTCAGATAAGCCAAGCAGAGAACATTGATATCAGCTGAAACGCGTTTCGTGAGGAAGACAGCAAGTCGCGTCATTCCGAACTGAGGACATACCCAGCAATAACACAACACCAGACCAAGTGGGAAGGAGCACAACGAAGGGAGGACCTTAGACAGGAACCCAAAACATTTCCAATATCGACCTGAAGAAGGAAGATAATTGTGTAGACCGTCAAGGGACCTGAAACATTCTATCCTGCAGTGCCCGAAACAGGACAACTTCTGGGATGGACAGTGGCGACACAGTGGCAGGAGATCTGTTTGCTGAT